CAAGAACGTAGTGTGCCTGCCCCTGCAGCTTTCCCCGCAATTACAAAAAGGCTGGGAATACTCCACTTCCATATTTATCGTTTTGAATTTTTCTCTTTTTATCTTCATAATGGTGGCTTACATTGCCATCTTGTTGAAATCATGGTCGTCAAGTAAACAGCTCGGAGCACATGGAACTATTCGTGAAATACGAGCAAGAGCACAAAGTGCCCAGGCCAAAAGAGAAAGAGCACTTGCCAAAAGAGTCTTCTTCATTATTCTGACCGATTTCCTGTGTTGGATACCAATCATTGCTATCGGCATCAAGTCGCACGTCGAGAAAACATTTGATCCGCCTGGTGATCTGGCAGTATGGATTGCAGTGTTCGCTCTGCCGATCAATTCAGCTGTCAACCCATTGCTGTATACGCTTTCTACTCCACAGGTAACAGGTTTATTTTTTATTACTTTTGAATAGGGCATACTGCCATGTTCAGATCTGCTTTCGTGTCAGAGCAGGCTGACAAATTAATGTTGTAACTGTGACGTTTGACATAACAAACAAAAATGAAAAAGAGTTGATTTTGACCACGGAGACCAACTTAAATATAATTAACAACTATTCACCAAAGTGGAGGTGGTTAGTGGTGGATATTTACCGAGCCGCGAAGCGGCGAAGTAAATATCCACCGCTAACCCCCGACAATGAGGTGAATAGTTGTTTTAGTATATACTAAAACAGTGAGATAATATACACCACCGTCGTTAATTTGAGTGATTTCTCCGCTTGTCACCGATGCAAACCGGGACGCCATTTTTTCCCGAGTTGCTCGGAGGTAAATAGCAAAGGATATTCGGAGTTTGACTAGCCAATCAGAGCGCGCCTTCAACGCTATCCACCGTTTTACTATATACTAATAGAGATTATTCAAGAGTCTCACACTAACTATCCCATAAATTTCTGATGTGTAGGTGCAAGCTATACTGAAACCAAAACTGAGGAAGCTGTGGTTCAATGTTCGATCTTTTTTGAACAGAGGACAAAATCTAGAAGGTACAGTTTTATGTTCCATTTTAAAATACCATGATAACAATAATCGTGTTCCACACCTTGAAATAAACAAACTTTAAGGTTTAACGATTTTTGTACAAGTTTTGTGTTAGTACCTTGTTTCAAATCTTTTTGCGTCTAAGGCTTTGAAGGGGGGATAAGAGTGAAAATGTTTTGAAATGGTAAAAACTGATGTATTTTTCCATTTTTTATTTTGATTAACTGAGCAAATTATTGAAATGAGCAAAATGGGATTGTAATGAAGAACACTAGGAGCTAAGGCACGAACAAGCAAGAAAAGCAATCAAGGGAGTGACTCTGAATTCAAGGATAGAAATAGGGGCAAACCAAGTTTCATGGGGGAGAGGGGGGCTTCGCTGGAAGAAAATCTTATTTAAAATCAATTTATGGAGATTGGTATCTTTAAAGCCATGTTCTAGGAACGTTGAAACAAATTGATGCCCTTTACCAAACCCATTTTAATAAAAATATGAGCGGACATTTGTAAGTTACTATCAAAATATAAAGCGATAAATCTCTGTCTTTAGTTTCAAGGTAAAGATACAAATCTGACTGTAGAATGTTTATCATTGTAATAACTGTTTGGAAAACCCTGACAGTGGCTTATTCTCTGTTTGGAGAAGATCAAGACAGATTTATTGTTGTTCGTTTATGAAATAGAAGAGGCAGAAAATGATCAGCAGGGACATTTTGGAAATGAAGGTGCACATGCTAACAACGAGGAGGGTAAAGATATAGTTCTTCTTAATGTAATTATATATGAAATATCCCCCGTCCGGTCTTCAGCAACCTTTTTCATTGTCACTTATTCATACTTTGTTTTCTTCCCTTTTATAATCTTTTTTTTTTTCGCCTACTTTTTTGCCCATAGGAGAACATATTGAAATGCAAGAAATAGAATACCACGAAATCCCAGTAGAGGAAGCCCCTGAATTGCCTGATCCGCAACTAGGTCAGTACTCCGTCTGTGTACTTATATTCAAACAGCACTTTACAAAAATTAAAGTAAAACAATCAAATGGGAAACATACCAAGGAAATTTTTCCACTCGAAGAATTTGCAACCATTATAGTGATGTTGATGGTTATGACGGGATTGACTTTGTACCTCAACTTCATTAGCAGTTATATTTAGCCTAATTAACTAAATTTGCCAGAATATTTGCAAATTCAATTTGAAATACCTAGAGCGAAACCACGGCATTCCTTTCCTGGTCTGATACATTCTTTATGTGCGTTTTAAGAGAGAAAAGATTGACGAAGGGTTTTCCCACCTGACATAATTGTGATTAGCTTTGGTGTTATTCATTTTGGTTGATAACTGCATGAAGAACACCAAGTTCACCTAGCTTTATATTTTTCTTTAGATAACACTAAAATTTCTGGCGATAGTCTTCTTAGAGACTTTCTACCCCTCCACTCTTGAGATCCCCCTCCCTTTCCATTAGTAACCTGCACATTGTATTATAGAAGGAAAGGTACCTTCGTACCTACATACGACACAGCTGTAGTAAACGAATGATACGTCTGTATTGATAATTATTATACATTGTAGTCACCATCTGTCTTCACATTGGCTAGATTCCCACAGTTAATTCTGAGAAACAGCGCATCCTACAGATTATTCACTAGTCTGTACCTACAGATTAGTGAATAGTTTGTAGGTTGCGCGCGCAATGTATGATATCCGGTGGAGCTATGTCTAGTTCACGGACAGCGAAGTAAGAATGGCTTTTCGATTCGCATCATCGACCCAGCGAGAAATTGAGAAATTACTTGAAGATAAAGATTCGGAAAATACTAAAAGATCGACAAAAGTGGCGA